CTATGCATACGATACTAAGATCATATCCATTGTAAAAGCTTCCTTCATCCTCATTACTGAGTTGGTTTCTGTTACATCTTGTTGAAGTACGGAGGTGGCAAACTTTAACACTCCAGTTGTGGGGTAGTGTCGAAGTGTCTGTTTTGAGGTTTTGGGAGTGCACTTCTATTATGATTTTTATAAGAGGGCAAGAGGCCAAAGTGTTGTACTCAGTTACTAGTTCACCCTTGCTGAAGAAAAAAGCATTGTTTTGATTTTTTTTCACTGGTTTTGTAAAATGTGCTGTAAAGGGTTTTTGGTGCACGACTTTTGCCATGAATTTGTTGCAGCCTCATCTTTCAGGTATTGTCACAGTCGTGATAGCACGTGTTGCAATTAATTGTTGCAGGTGCCAGGATTAACAAATCATGCAGAGAGTTTAATGCAATAACTCAGAATTAAAAATGGCTTTTTGTTGTAAACTTACTGCTTTTAAAAATGGGGTAAAAATGCCAGTCATATTTTCAGAGATGTATACCTGATACTCTGATTGTGGTTCCTCCTCTTCTCCCCCTCCCCCCTCCCCCACCTGGGGGAGTTATCCTTTAGCTAGTTAACAATATGAAGAGGCCTAATTTTCGTGAAAAGTAGTCCAGCCAGACTTGTGCAACTGGCGGAGGGGTCAAAGAAAAAGGGGGGGGGGGGGAGTCATGCATTATAGGCTGCTGTACATAGTGTTTGCATGCATGATGCCAGACAAGTCATGATTAGCAATTTTATGTTCCATTTGTAAATCTATGCCACTATAGCACATGTCACCTTGTTGTGAAATAACTGGACCTTGTCCATTTAACTTTACAGGGGGACACAATTTGGCACCTTATATATTTTGATTTATTACAAATGTTTACGTGCTTCCTGAAAAGTTGTTCTCCTTTTGAATACATTGATTGATTCTTAAAGTCTGCCAGGTTTTATTTTTAAAGATGGATTAGAAGTTAGAAACCAGCTGTGCAAGTCAATACATCATATTCAACACACCTTTTCCTCACTTAACCCAATTTTTTCTTAGAAAGAAAATAAAGACTCCCTCATTTATGTATTTTTCTCCCCAAGGCATCAGTCGTGAGATGTTTGTTTTACTAAATGTATGTTCAAAGTGTTATTTTCAAAATAAAGCAGATTGTTTTTGGGCCTCTTTCAAATATAGAAAAGTAAAATACTGAAATGAGTAAAGGGCCATGAATTATGAGCTTTATTATTATTATTATTATTATTATTTTACTTTGTACTTAATCATATAAACCTACAAAAAGAGAATTGTGTTACTTTGTAAAGGTCCCACGAGACAAAGCTTGGAATAGGGTTACATTTATTTTAGCACATATCTTACAAAGTTAAACCACAAATAAAACAGCCACATACTTTCTCAGTTTAAAATATGGTTATGTAGTAAACTGTACAAATATCCAATAGTAAAAGTTATAACGAAAATTCATCAACTCTGGCCTGATTAAGAAAGCTCCACCTTTTCTGACGCCTTCCTTTGAGGTAGCTAGTAGGAGTGAGCGTGTAAACATTTGTTGTTTTCAAGGGAAGCGTGGCAAATACCAGTTCTTCTCAGCCAAAATATAGATCATTCAAAATAGCCATAAATTGAATGTCACTTCCTCATTAGATTTAACAAAATGTTTCTCTAAGAACTTGCCCCATTGTTACAATAGCTGCAAACACATTTAATTTACTGTTCTTTGTAAAACAAGGCTTTGAATTCCTTCCTTTACAGTTTGACTCAACGCCCTGTTTACACACAACCAGTTGATTCTGCACGGGCCAGGTGAGTCAGCTCTTGTGCAATATGTGAAAGATTGTGGAAGGCATGCAGATACAGTATCACTACAATGAAAGGAAACGTGCCTTTACGTTGGCGTTGTGGTCAATTATTTCCTTGAAACGAAAGAACAAATTTTGAAAGATTGACTTGGTCTGGGATTAATCTTGAGTTTACACTGAACCATTTTCGTTGTCATAGAAACACAGATGGCAGTAAGTCTATATCAAGGTAATTCTTTTTTTTATCAAATGTTTTATAATTCTTGGCCTTTTGGCTAAGATCAAAGTGCAGTATCTATTCCTATCAGCTTTATAGATGGATTTTTGTTTTTTTTTTTCAAATTACTATTTCAGCTGGAAAAATAAAAGCAATACCATAAGGGAGGTTACTCTTCCTGAACAAAATTGTTTGCTTTCAAGTCATATACAGAAGAGAATCAATTGCATGGTGTCATTCTTTTATTGCCTTTTATCCTCTAGAATTGAGAAATCTGTCACTGGGAATAACAAAACCATCTTAATAACTTACAATCTTATGTAATTAACCTATGTATATGTTCAGTTGCACTCAAAATGAAGTGAAAAAGCATCCAGAAGCTGCGCACAAACAAAAGTTAAAGGGATAACGACTGTTTGTACGAAATTCATGTTTCACAATAAATACATTGTAAACAACTCATGGAAATATTATAAATTCTATTTTACCCCTAAAACGGCAGTTAACGCAATAATTCTGGAATTTGTGCTTGCCATTTGCGTGACCTAGATAGATGGCTATACTTCATAATCATCTCTTAAGAGAATATAATAAAAAAAACTAACTCTTTAGAAAAAAAAACAGGGACTAACTTTGAATGTTGGGATGGATTCATTAACCATTGGTAAGTACGGGAAATTGTCCTTTACCCCAGGAAAATCTTTTTTTTTTTTTTTTTTGCCAAAATGAACAGTTGTTATCCCTTTAATCACCCCTGCTGCTTAAGGAGGTGTGTCAGTTAATCTGCTTGCAATCAGCTATAGTCCCCGTGGAGTTGGATTGATCAATGTTGCGAGATAGTTTGGCTGGGAACAAACTGTGGAATCTTTGTCAGGATAAAAGGACAAATTCTAACTCTCACCAGCAGAGAAAACAAACTGCTCACATGCAGTGGATTAAGTATATGGCTTTTGTTAATATTTCTGTGGCTTCACACCACCTGAGTGGGGCTTCTCGGAAATTATCTTTCACTTTCTATCACCTGATGTCTCTCAAAGTATGTATAAACATTTTTCTAGTAAACAGTATCAGTTTGCCCAATGCACAATGCTGTAAAGTGGTCATTCACCAACTCCGTTGCCTAGGATCTTCCTGTTTAAATTATTGATAGTTATGTCCTCCAATTTCTTTTTAATTAATAAAATAAATATCTCTGCTAATAAACTGCATTTGTACTGGAAGCATAACCAGCTCATGCCTCCATAGATAATACTTATATTTAGTTACTGTGTAAATTGATGGATGAAGACTGACAGATAGCCAGACATTATTTTGGGTTGATAAGTATTGGAATACTGTTGAATACCTTTCCAAATTGCATGTTTTGTTTGAAATCCTATAAATTGTCATATTAATTTTCAGGAGCACTTTGCACATAGGGCCCAATGAGAAGGCAATGCTTCAGAGCCCACACCATGAAAATGAATAGATGACATTGCAAGAGTATATCTGTTTTCCTTCAAATGCTAACCACACAAAAGCCATAAACACCCATTATTCATTTTTAACATGTACACTTTTATTTACAATATTCTTGACAATTAAAATTAATTTCTTAACCTTAAAATGTGCTTCATTGTCCATGGATAAAACACTTGGCTGCTAGTAGTTTTTCTGCTTGTTAGCCCAGTTTTGATGCTACAAATATGAGATGCACTCTGCTATTAGCTGCCTCGTCTTGTTATCGAAAATAGTAGGCTAAGTGGGTAAAATATATCGTTATCTCCAGTTCTGAAATGGTGCAGCACATGTAAACCTCCGGTAAATATACTCAACCAAAAAGTTCAGATGATTTTCCCCACTACATAGTTTTTTTACTTATTGAAAAAACAATTTCGTGTTTCGGAACTTTTTGGGTCGGGTTTACAATATATCAGAGACCTATTTTATGTAATCTGGCTTGTTTCTTATCTGCTGAAACATATTTTGTATACTATACATGTTACAGAAACCTTCTCTCTCCCTCCTTATTGAATGGCAGTGACTTAAAATGTATCTATTGCTATAAAATAACCATCCTCAGTCAGTGTACTGCACAGGTACAAACAAATGTATCATCAAAATACGTCCAGAGCAAAGTAAACCGCTTTCTGGCCACGAGGAGCATTAACAAGCGATTTGTAAGGTTGTGTGCCGAAAATGAAAATACCTTTCTGAGACCTTTCTGTTCGATGTTAACTCCATTTTCACTGTCCAGAGCTACATACCATGTACAAGTTTCATTTATGTTTACCTATTCATATTTTTACATAAATAAAATTGGCTCTTGTTCAGTGTCTAGGACCCAACCAAGACCAATCTCAACTTCAGACCAGGGCATTTAATTTGTATATTTACAGCCTGGTCTTTGCACAATGCCATATAATCTATTCAACCACTATTACATATTTAACCAGTACCACGACAGTTGTATGATATTGTATACAAAGCCAAGTGTTATAGACTTTGAAGTATAATACATTTCAATAGTGAGATCAGCTACTGCATTCACATACTCTCCTGAACACAGGCACAAACACATATACATACCACATGTACATCTAAATCAAAGTGCCCCTCCCCCCTTTTTCTGACAAAAAAAAAACTGACTAATTGTTCTCCAAACATCTAGAAACTAATTCCGTCATGCCAATGACTAACAGGGAAAAACAAACATGTTGTTTAGTCATACTTAGTGATATTAAGCCATTTGCAAAAAAAGATAAATGTATTAAGTGTCAGAGAGTAATGACACCCCCTTCCCCCCCCCCCCTCTCTCTCTCCCCCAGATACATTTGTTCTACATACACCTTGGCTCTGTTCTCACAACTTTTAGATCGATCTATCACCGCGGGGAGTCTCACTAGATTACTGTCAGATAATCCCCCTTAAGTGTCCGTCCCCGCCCACTACAAGCTTTAAGGGGTAATTAACTTTCGTGTCCGCCCGGCTGACAGCTATTTAGCGTGAACCCCCAGGGAGTTAGGTCGATCCAATGTAGGTCGATCTAATCTATGAGAATGGGGTGATAGTGATAGCTCTAACTCCATTTCAAAGCACCTGTCAGTATCATTTCGACCTTGGGAAACTTTGACAATGCTGCTATGGATTTCTCAATATAAACTTATCACAATGGGATTGATCAGTGGAGGATGCTGAAGACTCCCATATAGTATACAGCACACACAGAATATTGTGCTATATAACAGGTGCCTCACACGTTCTTTAGCGCATCTCTCATCACCATGTATTTAAACTTATATTACTTCATAATTATATTAAAGTGTTTATATACATTAACATATATATTATAATATTATTCAAATCTTTATGAAATGTATCCTGGTAATATTTGATCTTAAAGAGAAGAGTCTAAATCATAATTGACCTGAATGCCGTGCTTGTGAAATTTAAAAATCGACATAATTTTTTTAAATAAACTGAATTTTGTTCTAGGAAATACTGGGAACTGTGCAAGCTACATCACATGATCTTGGATGATGACATTAAATGACAGAATTATCATTATCCACTGAAATCATACCATATTTATGAAAGTGAGCTTTAAGAAATGGACACAAAAAATTCTAGTCAAGATCAAAATGAATATACTTTTTCCACACATCTTCCTTATCATATTATCCAAATTAATGCAAATAGCTCCTAAAATTGACTCAACACAGAAGAACCTTGACCTACTATGGGACCAGCCTTCAGGTCAACATCAGCCCATGTTGGGCAAGCTGACAAGTGAACTTTGGCCCAACATTGCCCAGTCAGCAGGTCAACATCAGCCCATGTTGGGCAAGCTGACAAGTGAACTTTGGCCCAACATTGCCTAGTCAGCAGGTCAACATCAGCCCATCTTGGGCAAGCTGACAAGTCAACTTTGACCCAACAATGCCCAGTCAGCAGGTCAACATCAGCCCATCTTGGGCAAGCTGACAAGTCAACTTTGGCCCAACATTGCCCATCCAACAGGTCAACATTGCCCATCCAACAGGCAAGCTGACAAGTCAACTTTGACCCAACATTGCCCAGTCAGCCTGTCAACATTGGCCCAGCCTTGGCTTAAGACATGGATCTCATTCATTCCAAAATGTACCCAGTTGTCAGATAATCAGAAACCCAACCTGGATCAAGTCCACTGGTCACATTAGCACAACATTGGCTAAATCTCATATAACACTGACCCAGAAGACAGCTCATCAAAGTGACAGGTCAACATTGGCCTGAGTGACAAGTCAACACTGGCCAAAGTGACAGGCCAACATTGACCCAAGTGACAGGACAACACTGGCCCAAATGACAAATCAACATTGGCCCAAATGACAGGTCAACATTGGCCTAACTGACAGGTCAACAATGGTCCAACTGACAGGTCAACATGGCCCCAACTGTGTGTGTTGTCTGTGATTGTAGCCAAGAGTTGACGTTTATCCAACCTTCCCTGAATTCCCCAGATGAATCAATCACACTGTAGCTAACTAAAACAGTCCAGACAATTTATGCTTCCTCCGCTATGTCCTCTTGGTCATATTCTATTGTATCCACAGAGTCATTGCTGTCCTCTGCATCGCTACTGTTATTAGATGTGCTATTCCCGTCACTGTTGCCGAACTTGTTTTTGTTATTATTGTTACTGTTATTGTTTGTTTCTGAAGAGAGATTCCTTTCTTTTGGTTTGTAGTCTGTGATGATTACTGTTACTGCGCCTACTGTTACTTCCATGTGCGTAGCACTGCTGCGATCAATATTCTTCAGTCGTGGGAGCCTGGAAAGGAAAACATTACATAAACGATGAGAATCCTTAGGATAGATGACATGAGAAATTATCTGAAAACGTAAAGCCTTAACTCATCCTCTGCAGTCAATTTTCACTAACTTGACTTCAAATTAACCTAACACATATCTAATTTCCCCTATTTCCCAAATAATTTGAAATGATGTAATTATAAGTACCAAGTACATGCCTATATTCAAAAGAATTTCCAAATTGTCATCTGACATTTACAGATCAAAATCTCAAAGTGGCACACATGCCGTGCCCATGGTAGCTGTTTTGTTTACATTTTCCCTCCAACATGCAAGACATGGACATATAAATAACGCCACTTAGTTAATCGTCTGCTCGTGGAATTATTGCCAAATTCAATACATTCACACAAGATATGTGTAAAATCTGGAATAGGAATGTACTACTCTGTTCCAAGGTCAGCTATTCTCAGAGATGAAAGACGTTCTCTAAAGAATTACAAGACATCTCAACTTTTCCTTATAAATGAATGCCCTTGACCTCAAACCAATCCCCCACGCTGGCATCCTACCACAATTGCTTCCACAACTGCTGGTCTCCTGACTTACAAAGAATGTAGCTCTATATATAAATCAGTTCTGAATTGTTTTCGTTCTTGTCTCTGTTTTCGTTCTTGTCTCACAAAATAGAAACATTTACCTTTAGCATTGCCAGCTACCCAAGAAGAATCTTTCTCACAGAACAAGACTTGTAAGACTAACTCTAACCCCCAAAATTGTCATATCTACTTTTCTGATTTTCTTATATTTGGATAGCAATAGGTGTTAACAATTTTGGTTTGATTTTTCGTTTTAGTCCATTCCACATAGTACCATTCATTTTTGGATGAAACCATGACCAAAATGCTTTCAGGATTTTTCTGTATCAGAGATGTCATTCCCAAGGTGATAAGAAAAGATATTAACTAATACCATGCATGCCAATTCCATTTTATTTAGAGCTCTCCATCATTTTGAGGTTCTTAATAACATAACTGGGTTAACTTTTAAAACATCTTGACCACGTTTTATAGCAGAAACTATGCCAGAAAAACATTATATATGCCAGCTGTTTAAGCCTTCTAGATGACATTAATCCATGATCTTTTTTGTTGCCCACCACTGGATAGCAAGGGGAAAACAATTTACACCCCCCTAAAATTCACCTACTTTTTCAGTCCATTCACACCATGCTCTTTCTTTCTGCCGCCGAGCTCTTTTTTGTCTTTCTTCGGGGGAGGAGGCGGTGCAAACTGTTGCGCCAACTGCTGCGTAACCAATTGAGGGTTTATTCTGGGTTTCCTAAATATCAATAAAAACAAGCGTTCAATTACAAATCCAATGACCATAACAGTAACACCGACTACAATGGGGAAAAAAATCACCCTTTGGGTTAACACAAGAATTGACTAGGCATTAAATAGATGTCAGTCTGACTGCTTTGACTACTCTTGTGGAAACTGGGCCAGTTGTGAAAAAAGTTAAATAATTGATGGGATGCTGAAGGTGGCGTGGGTGGATAAGTTGTTGATAATCGGTCTTCGGGGACTTGCATCATTTTATACTACAAGGTGGATCTGGCAGCGTCATTAATATTGATCAAAACACTTCTACTTTTTGGATGATTACCAGGAAAAATGTACCATTTGATGGGGGTGTTTTCTCATTTTTATGATGAAAATGTCAACTCAATAATCATTTTGCTTATCAAATCCTTACTTAAACTGTGAACCTGTACTGAAATTAAATGGTCTTAACAAAAAGGCAGGAAAGGAAGGGGAAGAGAGAGAGAGAGAGAGAGAGAGAGAGAGAGAGAGAGAGAGAGAAATAGGTAACGAAGGCAGGTGAGAGAGAGACAGAGGGAGGGAGAAGTACCTGGTGGATGTCCCCTTCCGTACATCGCACATATCACATTTAAAGGCTTCTGGAGAGTTTCTGTAGGTACACACGCTGCAGTCCCAGCCCTCTTCTTCTGCTGTTCTTATCCGCTTGGATCTGAAGTGAAAATATTGATAAAAACAGAACAATTAGGAATTAAAAAATTTATACAAGTTTGATGTTTGTGCACATACAGATCAATATCTCTAGGATAATATTCCTTTTTCTCCCCAAACGTTCACTATATTTAGAATTGCTGTACATAAAAACTCACATTTCATAGATCACTTATGGCAACCAGAAAAACTTTACCAGTGTATGTGTGTTGTTTTCAAAACCTTCTTGGGCCCAAATTTATTAGAAGAAAGACCTAAATACCAGAAATTCTGTTACATGCACATACATCCAAACAGACGTCACTTGGATGAATTTGTGAGCTGTTTTGTAGTGAGATTGCTCACACTTGCTTACATAATAACAGATCATACATGCATGCACTAATTCAAACATGCATTGCCAAGCAAATTGCTGGAACTTAATCACTGTAATTAGAAATTAATACTGTACTTTCATATTTTCAACATTTTATGTGCTGTAACAACCATCAAAAATGATATTCACGGGCAATGGTGAAAAATATTTTACTGGGCTACAAAATTTTTTTTTTTTTTAAATTAAAAAAAAAAGGAAATTAATGGCAGCTATGAAAACATCAAAAACATTGTACAACCCTACTCCAGGCAGACTGTAGTAGCAGTTGGCCGTTCCACATTATTCCAGCTTCCGCGTTACACGTTACACGCTGTTACACACGTCACTCTAACATAGCGTAAACACCCTTGAGAAGTTCACCGACACTGGTCTGGGTTATGACCTCATAAACTATTTACTATGGTATGTGGATCCCTTGTCTAGACTTCATATTTTTGACTCTGGATGAAATTTGGGATTTACTAACAATTTGCAGGCCTTATGTGTATTTCCTTTTTTTTCTTTCTGGTATTGCTCAAAACAGCTGATATAGATTTTTTTTTCTTTTTTCACTAACAGCTGTAGGGAAATTAACCTCATCTAAAAATCAATCATTTAATCATCATATTCACAAATTTTAATTAATTAGGTTGAAAAAAAGTGTGCTTCATCTGCTATCATTGGTTGTTTGGTTGTTACTGAAGGGCTGAGGTGGGAGGGAGTGTGTGTGTGTGTGTGTGTGCGCGTGCGCGTGTGTGTGTGTGTGAGAGAGAGAGAGAGAGAGAGACTGAGAGAGAGAGAGAGAAGTACAAGATAATGAAAAGCCACTGTGTGCATGCATAAGAGAGAGAGAGAACGAGAGGGAGTTTAAAACCCAGATGTGTATATGAAAGAGGGAGAAGCCCATGTGTGTGTGTGTGTGTGTGTGTGTGTGAGAGAGAGAGAGAGAGAGAGAGAGAACTTATTTTTCAAATTCAGGCCTACCCAACTACCAGACTCAGCACCGAATGATCCTGAATTCACCGGTAGATCAGACCACACTACCCATTTACAAGGTGTGTGTCAGATCGCATTACACAGTATCAGACGCGACACCACTCTTGCCTAGTATGCGATGTGATATTGACGATTCTCAGCGGGGTTGAAAAGCATTGCATCACCACTCAAAATTTGTTCAGGGTATGATACTGTGTAATGCGATCTGACACACACCTTGAAAACAGGTAGTGTGGTCTGATCTACCGGTGAATTCAGGATCATTCGGTGCCAAGTCTGGTAGTTGGGTAGGCCTGAACTTACTACTAGTACATACTAGTACAGGTCTTGGCACAGACTGACTTCAGTATTAACTGAATAATCACTCACAACGAACAAGTGCCCTAAATGTCACTTTCACACTTTCAAATAGGTAGCAATATTCAGATATGCCTTATCACCATAATCAAAATAAAATCTATGGTTTATTTTTCCCAAAAAAACATGAAATGCTATTTTCATGTACAGGGCAATTTTATATTAGATAACAGAGCATGGCATGCTGTGAAGTCAGACTAGGTCAGAAAAGACCATCGAGTACTGCGCAGTGGTTATCAGCAAATTCAATGCAACTCAGTTGGATTAATGGAGTAAAATTGGCCGCGAGTTGCTGAAATAGAATTAAATTGACAGAGCATCACAGACAAATTGGTATTTTTAGAACTGCTGAAGTTGTGTTGTCACATGGAATTTGATAATAATATCCATCTCTTTAAAACTGCACCATAAATGCATTTCAGTGTGATGAACAAATAAAGCAGAACAGTAAGAGTGAAAACCAGTGAAAAGACCTTAAATAAAAATATTGAAAAAAAAAAAGGACCTAAAATGAATGGTGGAAATGAAAGAAAAATATAAAGGCCTACAGTATAACAAAGTAAAGCTAAATTTTTTGTTGAAAGTAAAATGTAAGATCAGCGGTACTACTGCTGAAATAAAAAAAAGATAAGAGATTTTCAAATTACGTTTGTCTTCATCATAACTTTTGCATTTACCATCAATATTTTTGCTCTTCCCACCAACTGAAAAATTTATTATCTATCTTGAGTGGATAACAAGTTCTAAATGACACCAACATTGCCATCTTCTCTTGTCTAAGAATTGTGTAATGTCAAAACACTTATAGGGCATCTGGTGTAACTGGCAATTAGACCTGTCTTAAGTGGTGCTAGCAATTTTTTTTTTTAGCCAAATGACTACTTTTTATCACTTGTTTCTCCAAATGGTTTAAATTGACTAAAACAAGTCAAATCAACCCTATTTTGTTCAGCCAATTTTAGTCAGTTTTAGCATTTGGCTAAATTGGAGAGAGTTAGCGCTACCCCAGCAGGATGTATACAATGCACCTTGACAGCTGCGTCACCAGCATTCTATCACAATAAGGCTAAATTACAGTCTGGAAAACAATTTTTTATCTTCCTAGTCCATGTATCATATGATAAATCACAAAAAAACAGACAAAAAATTTATAACATTTCCTACAGTGATTTCCATTTCAAACTCGAAAGATTCTGTAACAGTAAAAGCCTGCTGCTGCCTTCTCTCTATCTCTGTTTTTCATTTCCTCCTGACATCATTCATAAGTGAAAGGCAGAAAGTGAAGGCAGGCTTATAATCTCTATTAAGTATATATCAGACAATATGGAGATAATTGGAGTGGTATGCTGCTAGATCTCCCTTTCTGTGTCAGTTTTTCTCCACGCACCTGTCACTACTTCTTTGCTTGCCANGAAAAGAGAGAGAGAGAGAGAGAGAGAGAGTGAGAGAGAGGGAACGAGGGAGGTGAGAGAGACAGAGGGAGGGAGACGTACCTGGTGGATGTCCCCTTCCGTACATCGCACATATCACATTTAAAGGCTTCTGGAGAGTTTCTGTAGGTACACACGCTGCAGTCCCAGCCCTCTTCTTCTGCTGTTCTTATCCGCTTGGATCTGAAGTGAAAATATTGATAAAAACAGAACAATTAGGAATTAAAAAATGTATACAAGTTTGATGTTTGTGCACATACAGATCAATATCTCTAGGATAATATTCCTTTTTCTCCCCAAACGTTCACTATATTTAGAATTGCTGTACATAAAAACTCACATTTCATAGATCACTTATGGCAACCAGAAAAACTTTACCAGTGTATGTGTGTTGTTTTCAAAACTTTCTTGGGCCCAAATTTATTAGAAGAAAGACCTAAATACCAGAAATTCTGTTACATGCACATACATCCAAACAGACGTCACTTGGATGAATTTGTGAGCTGTTTTGTAGTGAGATTGCTCACACTTGCTTACATAATAACAGATCATACATGCATGCACGAATTCAAACATGCATTGCCAAGCAAATTGCTGGAACTTAATCACTGTAATTAGAAATTAATACTGTACGTTCATATTTTCAACATTTTTTGTGCTGTAACAACCATCAAAAATGATATTCACAGGCAGTGGTGAAAAATATTTTATTGGGCTACAAAAAAAATTTTTTTTTAATTAAAAAAAAAAAAAAAGAAATTAATGGCAGCTATGAAAACATCAAAAACATTGTACAACCCTACTCCAGGCAGACTGTAGTAGCAGTTGGCCGTTCCACATTATTCCAGCTTCCGCGTTACACGTTACACGCTGTTACACACGTCACTCTAACATAACGTAAACACCCTTGAGAAGTTCACCAACACTGGTCTGGGTTATGACCTCATAAACTATTTACTATGGTATGTGGATCCCTTGTCTAGACTTCATATTTTTGACTCTGGATGAAATTTGGGATTTACTAACAATTTGCAGGCCTTATGTGGATTTCCTTTTTTTTTTCTTTCTGGTATTGCTCAAAGCAGCTGATATAGATTTTTTTTTCTTTTTTCACTAACAGCTGTAGGGAAATTAACCTCGTCTAAAAATCAATCATTTAATCATCATATTCACAAATTTTAATTGATTAGGTTGAAAAAATGTGTGCTTCATCTGCTATCATTGGTTGTTTGGTTGTTACGAAGGGCTGAGGTGGGAGGGAGTGTGTGTGTGTGCGCGCGTGTATGTGTGAGAGAGAGAGAGACTGAGAGAGAGAGAGAGAAGTCCACTTGTACATGTGTGTAAGATAATGAAAAGCCACTGTGTGCATGCATATGAGAGAGAGAGAGAGAGAGAGAGAGAGAACGAGAGGGAGTTTAAAACCCAGATGTGTGTATGAAAGAGGGAGAAGTGTGTGTGTGTGTGAGAGAGAGAGAGAGAGAGAACTAATTTTTCAAATTCAGGCCTACCCAACTACCAGACTCAGCACCGAATGATCCTGAATTCACCGGTAGATCAGACCACACTACCTGTTTTCAAGGTGTGTGTCAGATTGCATTACACAGTATCAGACACGACACCACTCTTGCCTTGTATGCGATGTGATATTGACGATTCTCAGCGGAGTTGAAAAGCATTGCATCACCACTCAAAATTTGTTCAGGGTATGATACTGTGTAATGCGATCTGACACACACCTTGAAAACAGGTAGTGTGGTCTGATCTACCGGTGAATTCAGGATCATTCGGTGCTGAGTCTGGTAGTTGGGTAGGCCTGAAATTACTACTAGTACATACTAGTACAGGTCTTAGCACAGACTGACTTCAGTATTAACTGAATAATCACTCACAACGAACAAGTGCCCTAAATGTCACTTTCACACTTTCAAATAGGTAGCAATATTCAGATATGCCTTATCACCATAATCAAAATAAAATCTATGGTTTATTTTTCCCAAAAAAACATGAAATGCTATTTTCATGTACAGGGCAATTTTATATTAGATAACAGAGCATGGCATGCTGTGAAGTCAGACTAGGTCAGAAAAGACCATCGAGAACTGCGCAGTGGTTATCAGCAAATTCAATGCAACTCAGTTGGATTAATGGAGTAAAATTGGCCGCGAGTTGCTGAAATAGAATTAAATTGACAGAGCATCACAGACAAATTGGTATTTTTAGAACTGCTGAAGTTGTGTTGTCACATGGAATTTGATAATAATATCCATCTCTTTAAAACTGCACCATTAATGCATTTCAGTGTGATGAACAAATAAAGCAGATCAGTAAGAGTGAAAACCAGTGAAAAGACCCGAAATAAAAATATTGAAAAAAAAAGAACCTATAATAAATGGTGTAAATGAAAGAAAAATACAAAGGCCTACAGTATAACAAAGTAAAGCTAAATTTTTTGTTGAAAGTAAAATGTAAGATCAGAGGTACTACTGCTGAAATAAAAATATGTTAAGAGATTTTTCAAATTACGTTTGTCTTCATCATAACTTTTGCATTTACCATCAATATTTTTGCTCTTCCCACCAACTGAAAAATTTAGTATCTATCTTGAGTGGATAACAAGTTCTAAATGACACCAATATTGCCATCTTCTCTTGTCTAAGAATTGTGTAATGTCAAAACACTTATAGGGCATCTGGTGTAACTGGCAATTAGACCTGTCTTAAGTGGTGCTAGCAATTTTTTTTTTAGCCAAATGACTACTTTTTATCACTTGTTTCTCCAAATGGTTTAAATTGACTAAAACAAGTCAAATCAACCCTATTTTGTTCAGCCAATTTTAGTCAGTTTTAGCATTTGGCTAAATTGGAGAGAGTTAGCGCTACCCCAGCAGGATGTATACAATGCACCTTGACAGCTACGTCACCAGCATTCTATCACAATAAGGCTGTAGCCTAAATTACAGTCTGGAAAACAATTTTTTTTTATCTTCCTAGTCCATGTATCATATGATAAATCACAAAAAAAACAGACAAAAAATTTATAACATTTCCTACAGTGACTTCCATTTCAAACTTGAAAGATTCTGTAACAGTAAAAGCCTGCTGCTGCCTTCTCTCTATCTCTGTTTTTCATTTCCTCCTGACATCATTCATGAGTGAAAGGCAGAAAGTGAAGGCAGGCTTATAATCTCTATTAAGTATATATCAGACAATATGGAGATAATTGGAGTGGTATGCTGCTAGATCTCCCTTTCTGTGTCAGTTTTTTCCACACACCTGTCACTACTTCTTTGCTTGCCACTCGTTCAGAAAAATTGAGATAAAACAAACAGGTTTTTTCCCTTATATTGGATATATCAATGTCAAGAACAGAAAGATTTTCTAGCATCAGATGTGACAACGTGGCAACATATACAATAGAAGGCACCTTGAAAAGATCATTAAGTCATTGATTTAGCACCTACTTCCAAGAGGAACACTTAAAATGCTCAATACAATTTACTGAGAATCAACATGGTGTGAAAGATAAACAATTCCTAGTCTCCAATACATGACATAAGCATGTCACTGTTCATATGAAGTTTATTATATTTGCTACTGGCAGTATAATTTAGACTTCCCGGTAGCACAGTGTGATACTTTGAATCTGTATGCAATGCCTAGACAGCATCAAGTAGGATCAATATGAGACAGTGCAGTCAACAGCCCCCATTGACGTACTTTCCAGAATTGATTGGAATGACCTCAATCCATTCAGTGTGACAGTCACAGAAATGGCGGTGTTATTGCTGCTGCCGCCCGCCCCCCCCCCCCCCCCAGCCAAATATAAGTCTTTTTTTTTTCAAGATTTTCAAAATTCAATTGTGGTCCCTTTGATTAATTTATGCTTTTTTGTATAAATTTGTTTGGATCAAGCAATTTACCAATTTTTCGAAGCTTTATCATGAATTTTCAAGCTCTCTGACCCATGGAATTACAGAAAATTTTCACTCCTAAGATGGCCTCGGCTCTTATGACGTTTGAATGGGCTTGAAGTTTCTGGAAAAACATCGCAAATAATCAGAAGTGAATTGCCATACTAATTCATTTGAATTGCAGAGACAACACTGCTGAAAGTCAAGTAATAATTAAAACACTGAAAATCACAGTGAGACTGCCGTTGTACCAAGATGGCTGACATCCTGTGCTTTGACAGCCATTTGATAGCCAAGACTACCCCAAAATAGAATGTGTATGTGTTGGGAGGAAAGACAGCGCAGTAACTTTTAGTCTTCATAATTAAATAAGTGATGCTTTGTGGTAGCGTGTATGGGCCCACTTGTGCAATGGATGGGTTTTCACGTTACATTAGTACTGCAAATATTTTAGGTCTTCAACTTTTAAGTGCATTGGTTTCCATTTGTATAATTAAGAATGATGCCAGCTTCAGGTAACTAAAACTGACAAAGGCAAGTGTGATACTGCATTTCGCCTACTAGCATGCGGTTTTTACTGAATACATTTCGGATATTCTAGTGCAGTGACAAGTGCGATATGGGGGCGGAGTGTTAATGTTAGCATCAACTAATAAAGTCCTACCTAATGTGTGGCACAAGTTCGCGTAGTTTTATATGATGGAGACTAAACTGGAGCCCACACAACCCCAGACGTTCCCGCTCACAGATATCATTTAGAACTAAGTTTTGGCGCTTACCCATGCACCATTTCACCTGCGTATCTACCTCTAAGTTCGCATAGCATGGATACCTCTCTAAGCATGAAAAATCAGGTCAAGTATTTTCAGGTCAACCAACTAGTTCATTTCATGGTAGAGACAAAGACGTCGGTTTCATCCAGCTACAGTACGAGATTTACCGGTGATGTTGTACAGTAAGGGATCACAACAGGTCGGTACTGTCTTCTCTTACCTGCCGGAGCTTCTTTTTTCTTCCATGGAAGCCTTCCTCGGTCCAAATTTTCTAAAATCGACCCTGTGAAAATTTTCCAGGGAGATTCCCAATTTAGTAGTATGGCGGACAGCTTGGTCACATGACAAGGGATCGCCAATGGTAGTGTAGTAAACTCGTTTTCGACTCTGACGTCATTTCGAGGGAAATTTCCACGTGTACTTCTTCAGGGAACGTTTTATTTTCGTGTTTTTATTTTATGTAAAATCTCATCGTTATTTTGCTTTCTGCAGTTGAACCCCCACACAAAAAGAAGATTTTTGTGCGTGACTGAGTTGAGTGGATAAGCATGTGTTGCTTAAGTAAATTACGTGCGAAACAAAATCGAATATGTATGCTGTGACACTGATGTTAGCCTATTACAATAAAATGCGTAGGTGCTTGCGGTTTACCAACATGTCATGCAATCATTATCGCATTGACAGTAATCAACGACCCCTGGTATGCAGAGATGCGGGATGCTATTATGAATTTTACGTAGAATTTACCCCTCGCTGTGGAAATTAATACACTGATTTGCAATTAATATTCTGGAATAATAAAGATAAGAAGTTCAGTTTTAAAAATGAGAAGAAATGTAACCTGAAAGTTTATCCTTTCACATCATCCACAACAAGACTAAAAGAGACGAACTTAAATTCATCAATATGTCATAAAAAGTGCAAGTGGAGGTCTGACAAAGTAAAGGCTTGCTGTAAAAATGTGGGCTACATGTATCTCAATATTACATACAGTAAAGGTGTTGATAAGCGACCACGTGGTTCAGGTTCAGCTCTATAGCTTTATGGCCACATTTCACCTCTGAGCATCCCTCGTCTTAAAAACAATGTGCATTCCACGAATGACGCAAAATTAGTGCTAATGTACGCAACAAACATCGGTTGTTTTGAGGTTATTAATCGATCACAGCTGGTGTGCTGTACATCTGCATCGCACCTTTCTCTAGTTTGAAAGTTTGAAATCAACCCAGGCGTGGATTAGAGCCATCTGGCGCATCTGATGTCTTATTTACGCTGTGAGGGGCGGGGAAAGAGCTCACCACCAGTGCTACAGACTCACGCAAAACTGAAACACATGAAGGCTGAAAAGATTCCAAGTTTCAACCAATCTTAGCGGCTTTGATATCTTTTTCTACAAACCTTGAACAAAATTGGTTCCGACATTGTCAAGGTGCCCTAATGCCAGATAAGGATAGCACGCAGTATTTATCTGAAAAGTGAAATCTAGATTGTTACAAAAATACAAATAATGGCATGCAAATATGCTCTTACATGCACGTGCAAGAAATAGAGAGAGAAAGTTTTCTCCGATATAGAAGTATGATATTGTACTCCCATGAATTTCCTAGACTTGACTCGGAAAAGGGGATAAACCTTTACTTTGAATTGGACATTTAACTTACAATCAGAAACTATATATGAATGTATGACTATAACAAGCGTGCATACTTCTCTGAATATAACGGATTTAAGGAGGAATAGCTTTTAAGTCTCAGTTACATGACAAATAGAAACTATTCCGTCGCCCCAAAATTTAGGACTCCCACATTTCTCTTTCCTGTGTGAAAATTGCAAATGCTTTAAATTGTTCCCAATTAATTGTTCATGAAATACCAAGGCCGCACGCGCAGACGTATGCTGTTCGTAGACGTACAGCCAGCTGCTTAATGACACAGGCCATCACGTCTGTGGACAGGGTGTAAATTATATAACTATCTTTTATCCAGTCTAATAAAAGAACAATAGGTGTGTCACTATTTGGTATCATTCCAATTTACTTTTCTTTTCTTGTGGTGGTGTGGTACAACTGGAAATATATACGTACAAAAATCACACTTCATTCATACCGGCGAGACAATTTCCGAAGATTTCCGTAATTGCACGTAATTACGGTCGTCGGGGGAGCTTCACCTGTTGCTAACCATAGTTAAATTACCCGTTGTAATCACATCTTAATAGGTCTCCAGAGAGTTTATCTTGTGTGTTTCTTAAAGAAACCGATTTTCAGCTAAATCAACCACAGTTCGCATCCCCACCCGCAAGAACCTGTTTTCTTTACAAACTAGCGCGACCGTAACGTTATTGTATCCGGTGTTTTTTCATATGTTTCGCCGGAGTGTTTTGTCCGGTATTGGCCCTTTCCCTAATCTATTGTCTTTAGAGAACGATTCGACGCGTTTGAAGTAGTTACGGTACCACGTGCGACCGGTGCAACGCATTTTAATTGAGTATTGTCTTATTAAAGATAAATAGTATTGCATATGTGTTAGAAAGATGTTAACGTCTGCCTCCCACCGATTTGATGAGCTGGTGGAGTTTTAGTAGGTGGCATTGGTAATGAGCGCCAAATGCGAACGGCAGATGAACCTCAATATGAGGAAATTAATAATTCACAGACCCTGCTGTCAGCAAACATGTGGAAGCACACGCATCATGTTGGGCATCCCCGAGGTGTTCAGTGGCAGAAAACTGTTTCTTTGGCATTGGTTCCAATGCAAAGAAAACTAATTAACGTATCAGATCTTTAGAGATTCACCTGTTACAACTTTATTAGGATCTAGTGCAAAAACAAGAATGCTTTTCCAAAATTAATCAATATGGATACTACGCTTTAACGCATGCATCTTATTTTGCGATTGAAAAAATATACCATATCGGTCTACAACTCGAAGAATCTCTTAAGGCTACTAAAATTTCACGATTGATAAATCAATATGTGCGTCAAGGGACACATCTAGGCAATCAGTTTTCGATATCATACTAAGACACGAGAAATTGGAGGCGGAGAATCCGCTATATGCAGAGAAGCCTTGCCACGTATTGCATTAAATTAGCTCCGCAAGCAGGCTAATCAGTGACACAAGGAGGAGCTGTGCAGCTAACGTTTCCAATGCGCCCCACACGTTCTCGATCATGTATGAGTCAAGAGCGGGCTTGTTTGTGGATATACTGGGTTTTCTCACTCTCTTCTCTTTTTTTACGGACTGGTCTTTTATTCGTTCCTTCGAGCTGAGTCATCTCTGCCTGCCTGGAGCTGATTTCGGCCAGTTACCTTCACGCTGGTGCCGAGGATACCGTTACTTCTTGGTGGTCTAATGTTCGAGTGTGTGTGCGTGCGTTTGTGTGTGTGCGTGCGCACTTACCTTCACGAGGATACCGTTGCTTCTTAGTGGCCTGAAGCACAAGTGTGTGTGTGCGTGCGTTTGTGTGTATGCTTGCGCACTTACCTTCACAAGGACACCGTTGCTTCTTGGTGGTTAGAATAGAATGTGTGTGCGTGCGTTTGTGTGTGTGCGTACCTGTGTATGTGTGTGTGTGTGTGTGAGAGAGAGGGGGGAAGTGAATCATGTGCATGCATAAGTAAGTTGCAGTTTTTTACGTGTATATCATAAAGTTTGTGTTCACATTAATTGGGATGCATGCGTCTGTGTTCCTATGCTTTTCTCCGTCTGATAGAGTGCATGGGTGTGAGTTTTTGCTGCTGGCGTAAGTGCACATGCACATGCACATGTGTTGCGAGTAACTGGGTCTCTTGATGTTAATGAAGGATGGTTCAGAACATCAAAACACTTATTTTCGCCTAAGTGTTATTTTCCGTGAGCTTTAAAAGATACGTTTGACACAAGTCCCAGAACTGTGCCGATTTTCTGCTCAATTCATGATTCAATATCATAAAGTATAAATGATGACACGTCTTCACGAGATACGTACAACCCCCTCACTTTACTGTGCTACATTAATCAACTTCCCCAGTTACTATAAAGAGACCAAAACCTCTACTACGAGATCGCTGATTATTTTATTGTCTCACTCTGAGGTCAGACGCGTGGGAGGGTGTATCGGGTGATCAGTTCTGATGACTTGAGGGAGGCTGAAGAAGGGGGTGGGGGGGGGGGGGTTGTGATAGGCCGTATAGATGAATTTATTGCCATGTCTTTATGAAACATGTGTCCATATGCACGTTGAGCTTTATTCATTTCGCAGGCCGCTGCAGTTAACTTATGGGGAGGATTATTCTTCATTGAGAGTGAATTTGTAGTTTCTGAATGGGACTATGGAGATGTACAACACGTGTACAACAGGAACGGGATTAGAAACGAGAGGAGCGCATAGAGTTGCTAGGATTTATGGGGGGGGGGTAGCAAGTTTGTTTTTTTTTCCTGCTATTTCTACTTTGAAGTGATGGTTCTCTTACCTTTACCCCATTCACACTACAGTTGCCAAAATGCGCATTTCTATAATTCGGATTTTTCGTAAGGAAGGGAAATCCGAATAGGTTTACGGTACGGAAATAAGTTCGATAATCGCTTGGTTTATCAAATTTCAGTATCAGTGAATGCGAAATCTATGGTTATCAGGCGTGTGTTAATGTTGAGAATTTAGAAACATCGGCGCCTGCTGCAGCGTTTGTCTTCATCAACTTGTGCTGTTTTAAAGCCACGTGGAAAGAAATGTTTTGATGTATGTCGTTTATAAGACGACAGAAAGGCGCTTACGCTATATTTTTCAAATGAATGCAATGAAATAAATGTTAAGTAAAGCAGTGCCTTGTTTCTCAATACATATTTAGAAAACCGAGGAAACGACAACATCAGTTGTGTTTCTGGAATTTTTTTTAAAATTTCATCCAAATTATTCGCCTTTATTTTATTAGAATGTATCGGGTAGGTATGCCGTCGCCCGAGAATGTCTGTTTTCAGGAAATTAGATACAACGTAGAATGAATAATGATACATCCAATAACAATTTTCTATTGTGTGTGTGTGTGTGTGTGTGTGGCAGGATATTTTACCTTCTTAACCATTCAGAGGGCTTTTGTTTATCTCATTTATCAATTTACCATTTCTTTTTTATTTTTGTCATTTGGGCTGTCATATCAGCCACTATATATACCAATATTGTCAGAAATATGATGTTTGGGTGGTGGGTGATGGCAGGATGCTGATGAAGTTACTGTGCAAAAAACATCAGAGAACAGAAATCAGCATGTCTGGTGTATACCCAGAGAAATACATAGTGTACAAAATTCTCTCCGTGACCTAGTAGAGGGAAGGTGGAGGATGGGGGGGGGGGGGGGGGCCAGACAGATTCCCATGTGCTGAATAAATTTACTGCATAGCAACGAGAGCAAGTTCACGTTATGCAGTCCTCTAACACGACAAAAATTCAAAAGAAATAGAAGGGAAATGATATAAATGATTTTACCGGTCCTAAGAAATATGTGAGTGACAAACCGTTAAGCCTGTTGCAAGGTATTACATATCATTTTGTGTAACTTTTCCATTTGATTTGCCTGATATGTGATGCTTGGAAGTTGAAGACATTGGAGGTTAGGCATGTGTAAATGCTCTCACGTGTAGTTATAAGTTTGTCGGTAGCAATTACAACTCAGTAAGACTAAACATATTTTTGGAATCAACGGCTATTAATATCTTGTTCACTTTTTTTGCAGTAGCTTTTGGGTTTCTTTTGAATATACGCCAACAGTGGGCCAACATACACCGATATTCTATTCTTCAATAAAAAAAGGAAAAAAACAATACCGTTGAATGTGTAACAAATCTTTATTTCAAAGTGAATAATTTAATTAACAATAATTTATGTAAATAAATGACACGAGTGCTGTATAAACTGATGTGTAAAACTTGCACGAGTGTGTAAATGAAATAATAACTTCACTGTAAGTACACGTTGCATAACATTAGAAAATCTAACACAATGAATCGATGAGATGGCTTATGATCAATGATAAGAATGATATAGTATCTATCATAAAAAATCGATACCATGAAACCGCGGTATGATAGTATTATTCTACTTTGGGGAAACTGCGCTAAAATGCGGTTAACATACCGAAAACTATTGGCGTCACTGTATTCCACTGAGAAATATAAAAATAAATGGCAAAATGAATTGTATATATACCACAACTGCACAATAACTGCGACTGCACTATCGAGAATTACTGAGCGTGTATTCACGATAAAACTGGACACTGAAGCTGTGATTTCAATTAGGTTATAGTACAAGCAAAGACACACGTCTATGCTTTGGGCAACTATTAAATACCAACCCAGTGTCAACAAAGCATTAAAATATACAACTATAGCCCATACAATGTTGCACAAAGTTGTCTTGGCAAAGGTTTGGAATTACCGTGTCAGATCTTAGTATACGTAGATGACGGACATTGAGATGTTCTACCTGTACACTTGGCTACACTGAGACATAGTTGATGGTATTCACTAAATATGTATTGGAAGACTTCATAAGCAGCTGATTTACCTTGCCACTCTTTATACTTAACTACTACAATAGCACTGTATCATCATCATTATTATGACGAAATTACGTGAGGCGATAATACGTTTTCAGTATATTATTTCCAGAAGCAAGTCAATTCAAGATGACGCAATATAGCTTAACTATTGTGATTTGTTTCGTAATTATTTCTGTTCAGTGACACTAATTGCATACCACAATAATCTCATTTTCTCGGCGCATGGCCCATACCAGTTTCAGCCAGGCTGTTGACACATTTCTCACAACTTGTGAAAATAATTTCTAAAGTTGGCTTGACTAATGCTTTCTGAAAGACCAGTTGCATCCAATTAAATGTTGTGCAAAACGGTTATCTGTCTGTTTTCCAATTCTTTCTCACCAGGAATGCATACCGTTACTACACTACGGTAAATTTGACTTCGTCTTTTATAATAAATCTACTGCTTTTTAGGTTGAAAACATAAAATAAGTGAAACAAACTGTGATATGGAAAATACGAAAAATCTTAAGAGCTTATATTTCACAAAATTGGGCATCAAAAATGATTTGCCATAATAAAGTAAACATAAGTGCCAATGCAATGAGTAGAATCGCCGAATCCAACTAAACAAAAATGCAAACGATACAAAATAGTTATAAACCTTTCAACAGAAGCATTAACCTTTTCACCTTAAGATGGATGTATTAATAAGAAAAGCTACCTAGTCCGCCTTGAGTAGCACCTGCCAATTACTTTTCGACCTCCCACTAAGAAGAGTTCCGACAAAGCAACTACAAATTGTTACTTTTCATGAGACGAGTTAAGCACAAAGTGCCTTTAAATCCTGGTCTATAGAAGTCAAAGCTTTTGATAGCAGCCGACAGTATCACACTTCTGTCTATGTCTTGTGATATCGCGGGGTGCTTGTGTATATATAATGAAAAATTCATAGATATTCATGAGGATGATACGATGAATGAAAAAGACATTTTTCGGTGAATGCGACAGACGATGAGAAAAATGAAGGGCGCGCTAAGCTGTGCGCGACTCGCGGATAATAATGTCTTTGGCATTAAAAAAAGGCGCCACCAACAGAGATTTCTTTCAGAAATACAATGGGACTCCAGTTATTAGTCGATGGTCATCGGGATAGTTTCTTTCACAAAAGCACACGCTCCTTCGGAAAATGAACATCGTCGTCTGCTCAAAGGTCACAGAAGGGTCACGCCTCTCCACCTAAAGCGCCTGGCGCGCCGCTGGCATTTTCGGTTTCCATCTTTTTTTCTTGAACAAAATCTCTTGTGATGAGCGATAACAAGATGATGCTGAAGATGTCATATATTAAAAAAGAAGAATCTGGTAGAAAAATAGAGTAACTATGTACACTGTACAGTAATAAATTATTTTTTAAATACTTCGATGTTAAATGAGAATTTGGGTGATATTCGAGCAAGATATGCTGGCGACAATCCCTTGTATGGGACTGATGTATCCACACGAACTGTTCAAGTGTTTTTGGAAACTCACACTTCGTGGGTTAATGTCCTTCTAGTCTTTTTTGCTCACACTGTTAGCTGAACCTGCCGACAGTTGGGCCTCAAACGCATCCTGACATTAACGTCTTTTCTAGGGGGAAGGATTTCATGTCCATAATATTCTACAGCGTATTCGGCTTTCTCGCCTGGCAAGAGTTCGATATCTAGGCGATTAACCATCGCTAGCATGTACCACTTCAATTGCAACATGGCCATCCTCCTTCCAGGACAGAGAGATCCGAAGGACAAAATGGGATTCTTGATTTCACGGCCGTTTCTGTAAAATTTCTTGTCCTTGAAGCGGTCATGTTTATACTCCTGAAATTATAGAAAAAACTTTTTTATCAAAAAAGCAATTGAAACACCATTCCGGCATTAGAATAACACCTCTACAGACAATATTTACAAATAAGAAGTTAATACCACTTAATATTTTTTTATAAATCACAATTCATGCTTCTTTTATTTATTTTTGATTGCGATATGTACGAGAATAGATAATTGCGTCTGGGTAAGTCTAAAAAGAAGAGTGACTTTTGTTTTTTGGAGATAAAGCAATACAACCAGCCGTTGGGAATGAGAAAACAAGGCCTAATGAAAACAGGAGAACAGTTTTCGCACCGCGGTAACATCTGCGTTAAGGTTTGCACATCTGTCTCCCGTTGGCTTCTTTTTTACTCTGTGGTCTGTCTCAACAATACTAGAAGACTTTTTAACGAAGACGTCTTCAGACATGCTATTGTTATTTACTTCTATGGGTAACGCGTTTTTGAATTTGTGTGAATATCAAATTAGACCACAACCACGCAAGCCAGTGACATACGTAACGAGCACTGTCAGCTATCTTTTAATGCTCAGTAATCGGTTATCAATTAAGTTCTCATTTATCAACCCGCGAGCATAAAAGTATTCAAATCAAATGCGCCGAGCCCACCAACTTCAAAGCAGTACTCGCTTCAAACCACTTACGACGTCAATCTAAATAATATTCTTTTATATTTTTGCTAATTGTTATTTGCATTAAATTTTAATGCAACTCTCTACGTACTTTCTTAAACATCCAACATTCTTCTGTATGTATATTATTCACAAGTGTTAAGATAAACGCTTGGCGATTAACACAACAAAAATGCGTCTTGACTTTTAAGCGATATCATCGATAAACGTATGTTTCATAGTTGTAAATAAAAGAAAATGAACATTCTTGCAAGAATACTCGAGTCCTTACCTCGGGATCTTCAAAAATTTCTGGATTGTTGTGGATTGCTGGCGGGTAGATGGCCGCTCGGTCACCTTTTCGGAAAATGTGTTCCTTGCCCTCACTGGTCGTGAATTTTGTGTCCTCGGTCACGTATCGTACCATGAAGACTCCGCTTGACACTCGGAACGCTTCCAAACAGATACTGTCTGTAATGGAAACCAAAACACACCTTGCTTAATAATATTAATCATTTATTCCAAACACATGCAAAAAGAACTGAATATTAGACAATAATGAAGCAGCGGTCTGATATAATTAAGTACGTCCTTAAACAAAACAATTATGTGGCTTGGGTATTCATTGAGGATGCATCCACTTAACGTTGCGTTGCAAGTGGTCGAGCCCTTTGCCCTTATAAAAGAATTAATCACTGCAATAAAATTTATATATCCACTTCACCAACAAATTGCTCAGATATGGTTTTCATAAACGGAAGCCAGAGCTACCGGTTCGAAACACTAAGCTCTGTCAGATTGGCTGTTAGAAGGGAAAACTAGATTTCACTTAAACGTTTATCATTACTGGAACGTGGACCAGTGAGCGGGCTGCTGCTAAGGGGATAAGCTAAACGTAAAATGCAGAGTTCAGCATTTTCTAATGTCTCTTCTGAATTCAATATGTATCTCTCTGATGATTGCACCTTTCATCGGCATTTTTCTTGGCTGCTACGGATATCGTTCAACGCGTTGTGGAAAGGAATAATTCTAGGAAAGCAAACGTTAGACAAATCAGTACCAGGCAAGGAGAAGGCACACAAGGTTTCGGCCACGTGTAGATGAACGTACTTCTGGTATCTGTCCGGAAACTCGGATCAGCAGATCTGCGTTTTTTCGGGGTCTAACTACAAAATCGATTAAGACAAAATGCCTCCCTACTCACCTAAAGTCTTCATGCCCTCCACATCTGCTTGATCAAGCAGGATGATCTCATCTGGGTTGTTGGATTGGCGTTTTCTCTCCAAGATTTCGTCTATTTCTTGTCTCAGAGCCTGGAACCCTTCTCGCTGCTGCAAGATGTGGTACAGCGCCCAGAACGCTACTTTGAACGTGTTATAGTTCACGTGCAGGTACACTAGGTTGTGGGCTTTAATATCCATTTCGTTCTGATCGTTGGATTTCATGAAAGCCACCATTGTTTTGAGATATTCTGACGCGTCGTCCCTACACAGTAATTCATCAGATGAGGGCTGGAGAACCAGACGACCAAGAGCCTTTGTCGCTGCCGGGAACCAACTTCTGGGCATCCCAAGCCACATGTAGTTAAAATACTTGTGATACACCTCGAATTCGTTGCAGAATATCGTGGGGTTGAAATCCGCGTTGTCCTCGCGACCGAACAACGTGTAGAAGATGGCGTTGAAGATGGTTTTCCGGCACAGTGACCGAAGACCGTCTTCTGACCATTCTTTGGACATGTCCGACGTGTTGTTGTTCTTCGAAAGTCCAGCCTCAGTGGTCACGTTGTCCATTGCCTCGTCCAGGTGTCACCGAAGTGCATCATGGCTTTGTCCATTGCCGGACCACGGACAGTCTTACCAGCGATTTTGACCATGGCTTTTGGCTTTTTTAAAACGAAACTGAAGACATTCCAGTTTACCTGTTCTTGAATGGGATTGAAGTCAAAATTTTTCTCTTTGCTGAATGCTTCATAGCTATGAGGGTCCATTACAATGGTTAAGCACTGATTGAGTAAACGAATGGTAAAAACGTCGCCTAAATCTTTACCACACTTTAACAAAAACTGCACCGCATTCTTGTTGAATTCTTCTCCATTTCCCCACAGAAAATGTCCCTTCGCCACCGGAGCTTCACCCGGCCGCCTGCCAAATATATAAAAAATAGAAATCATTTTCATGAAACAATTTTTGAAGCAATGCCCATTCGTGCATGTCTAACTCGTGCAGATGGACAAGGTAAACAAACCCTAGCCCCCTTTGTACATGCAACAATCTGATTGCCAATAAGACTTTAGCCTATGCTTTATTCATATAAGCGGAATAACTCCCGCTGAATGAGTCAATGGAGGGCAAATTATTCTTGTACAAAACTGCGGAAATCCCTATCGTTTTCACCGTTAAATCGATCCCTAATGTAAATCATTACAAGTTAGATTAGCGTTAATACAGGTGTGGGTTCACAAAAGGCCGAGATTTGGTTTTGTAACATTTTCAGCAGACGATCAAACAAAGCGCGTAAAGAAGCAGAATGAAATCACGTCCGATGAATCGTTTCAAGCGTGTTTCGAATTCACAAATCGGCTTTTCTTTCAAACTTATGGATTGAACAAATTTGTTTTGATGGTGATAGCCGTTCTAGGTGACAATTATTCCAAGTAAAAGCTCTTCTCTTTTGACCCGGTGAGCCAAAAGTGAGCATCACCCCCTCATATTAAAAAAAAAATCAAAGGCCAATTTTCCAAGACCTCCCCCGACTTAAGTGTGCCAATAAAACAGCGGTAAGCAAATGTTTTTAAAACACACGTTTAGCAAGGATCGGCGATATATCATTAGCCGAGCGTAGAATTCCTTCCCGTCTCGACTGCAGCGCCCCGGCGAGAGACGCACGGTAACAAATTTGTAACAATCAACACCCATGGTGAGAGAAGGAGGACTCAGTCAAACGATCGGCTTGCATTATCTTTTCGGAGAGGGTGTGAAAATTCCCGACGGTCTAAATGGAAAAAACGTCTTGAAGAATTGCCTATAGATTAACACGATTGTTTTACGGCCTGTTATGCCAGCAGCCTCCGCTAAGGGCAATGAGCTCGCCTCACGTGTTCTGTTTTTTGAGTGGATTTTTCTTTTTTTTTACGCAGACGATAAGAAGTTTTCGTGGAGGATCTGCACGTGCCCAGTCTGGGGTGCTGTGCGACCACCTGTTTTGTTCAGTGTGAATTTCTAACATGACAGTAGTGTTGGAATAGTTCCCGATTAGACACGGCCCGGCTCGACTTCTTACCGTCAGCGAGTATCGGAAAAACGGTTTGACGTAAATGAGAAAACATTTTTACAAAGACTGAACTAGAGTCTCAGGGGCAAGGGCTGAGGTTGTTACTCCGTGATAGATTAGATTCCACAACAAATACTATTTTCTGTCTGATCTGTTCTAGTCGTGAAACGTGTTCGCCGTAACTTGACGGCCAGAGATCAGTCAGTTGTCATCATAACGTAGGTTTTCATACAACAATTAAAAAAGTAGAATGCAATGATAAAGAACAAGCCACAGGGTTAGACTCTATTATTGTATTCGCCCAGAATTATTTGCTACCGACCCTGATTTGTAGACTTTAAAATCCGAACCGATTGTCTTCAGTCCATACAACCATTATTCACTTTCAACAGTCACTCGACTTCACAGAACAAATATGATAATATCTTTTACAAGTCGCTATAACCAATTTCATGGTTCGACTCTTAAACATGTGGTAAGCACTCTTTTGTTAAAATGAAATAAATCTGTCAAAATATATGTTATGAAACAGAAGTTTCATAACTTAAAAAACAGTAAGCGGAAGCAACTAATGTTCCTTACTTGTCCCAGACGCGGTTCCCAACCTCCTCTTAACCCATAAAAGTCAATTTCAATATCAAAAATAGAACCCCATGACAGACAGACAAAAGTTTTAACTTACCGTTTTCTGTATATCTTTGTGAAGTATAAGTAGATGAGTAGACATGCCGCCACTGTAAACAGGGACAGAGGAATTATTAGTCCAAACATGCTGATGATGATGTATTGTGATCGTCCAGGCTTCGGTCTCGTAAAGCTCTGTTGAAGATATCTGTTGCTGCCTCGGGTCTCTTTCGTCACCTCCTAAACTAAAGAGAGAGGGAAGACTGACTTATTCACGTGCTAGCTTCTCTTTATATAAACCGCGGGCCTGGTTAAAATAATGCTTTTCGTGACGTCTAACACAATCAGAGGCTTCCCCTCTGGGCGGGGCGTATTCTAATTTACAATTAAGCAACCGCCTTATATGGGTAGCCGGTGTACAGCTGACACGTGCGCTCCAGGGAAGCGAGAGCGCTGATTGGCCGAGAGCGCCGTTACGTGGTTGCTGCTGAAAATTGGATCATTCAAAACATCTGTAGAGTTGTAAACGTTTACTAGAAAGCCAGTAGTAAGAATGTCTATCAAAGTGTCAATTACCAAGAGGCATGAACATTACCGACAGAACCGAGCAATTAATTTCTCACTGGTGGCGAATGAGAAACGGCCTTTGTGAGTTTGATCTCTTAATTTGGACAAATTACTAAGACAACAACGGGGCTGGGAAACACTAAAAATAGCCTTCTTGTGGGCAGATTACAATTAATTTGATATCCGGTCAATGATTTGATAGGAAGGTATTGTTTTAATTGACCCCTACACGAGAAAAGATGATCTCTATTCTTTCAGCTGTGTCGAGCCCTCTCTTGAGTTTTAATTACTGTATCTCGATACATTGAACCACATCCAGTTTTATTCTTGGTATTCGGAGACCACAAGAGAGGCTATTTTAAAGCGTGGTGTGATCCCCCTATTCCCTGGAAATCAGAGATCGATTTGTTTCTAGCAAATAGTAGAGAGCAGGCGATTCGTCGATATTTTGTTTCCAGAATTATCATGATTAAATGAATTATTCCCTTAAGTCCATTCATTTTCAGCTTGGGTTGATTTGAGTAAAAGATCGCGTAACAACGCATCCCAGGCCCAGATTAGTGTGACCACTACAATCGGTGATTAACGGTGGGAATTCTAAATTTGTTCGCACTACGGAAGTTTTTCTTCCTTATTCCATCCTTTCTTTTAGGCAGTTTTCTTAGTCCGCGTGAAATCGAGTGTGGAACCTTTGTTTGAAAATGTAGGTTTGCTCGCATACCGATGGCAATTGAAACAATACCTAGTATTAGTGAACGGAAAAAGATCAAGTTGAACCGACGGAAAGAAGGAGCGCCGAGTGCTCACACAAAACCAATGATGCACTAATATGCTTTATTGTTTTAAATTACAACAACAGTCGGCTTCTGTTTGCGGAAATTTCCGGGAGCAGCCGAAGATAAGTCCGTGACTATTAATAGACCCGTTATCTGTTGATATTATTTTTTGCTCTTACTCGCGGTTTTCCCCGCTAGCAGACCGTGGAGCAAAAAGCTTATTCTGTTAAATATGCAAGGTCAACTTCTTTGACTTCATACTTTTTTATCAATGAATACAAAACTAAAATGGAAAAACAGAAAGTAGTTGGCCTGAAAAAAAAACTACGTAAAACGTCCAATCTTGGTTAATTTAACCCGCGTCGTAGAAAGTGTATCGCAGAAAACAAAAAAGACTCAAGCGCAAATTAAACAAAAAAACATCGAACAAAGACAGCAAAATGCTGACTATATTTCACGATAGCTCTTTTCAATGTTATCACGCACGTTCGTGCCCACACACCTCCCAGCCGATCACGAACTCTGCCGTGACCTCATTAGACCAAGCATAACAGCACAGACCAGCTATAAATATTTTTTCATCATTAAATACTGTTTTGATTGATACACTGAAAAGAGCGGAACTAGAATGTGCCACTGTCAGGTTCAATTTTTAGACAGTTCCCCTGTTCTTTGAGAAAAGTCGCTTTTTCTTACCCCCTCTGCGGGATGAGGGCATTCTCGTTGAAGAGAGGCAACTGCAATTTACAGACGTGTCCCTAATTTCGCAGCGTAACATAATTTCACAGTGTTTCACAGGATCATACATTTATCATGTAATCTAAACACTGCGAAGTCTGATTAACCCTACATTTGCGTGAAATTTAATGTAGCAATAAATTTTCTATGGTAAGCCGCCGTGCAAAAACGATCAGGCCTGTAATTCGCCACTGTTAGTTTCGAAGAAAATGGCATTACCCCCGCCGAGAACGGTGTTTCTCTCCCCTAATGATACTATCATAATGAACATGACTAAGATTTTCTGAGAATTCCGAGAACCGCTTCCCCCAATCATGACGTGCATGAAAGCCGAATTGATTCAATAAAACGGGATATCGATCACGAGGCAAATCTATCACGGCATAATGCAAAGGCCTCTTGATTTCGGCTCCTTACCTCGCTTCTGATAATCTGAAGATTACACGTTCGTATTGTGTCCGTGGCCGTTTACGTGTGTTTATACGTGTTCAAATTTCAAGGCACATCAGCCAAGCAGAACCTACCAGTCTATTAAGTTCAGTGAAACCTCGCCACTTTTACGCTATATAAACTCTCTCGCTCGTTACTGTAGCGCTAAATGCAAGAAAGGGCTTTTGACCGCGATGCTATTTACTTACTTGTACGGTTCGGTAGCCGAGCGTTCAGTAGAATCCTTAAACTCACTGCTCAAGTTAAAGCGTTCCTTTCCTCTTTTTTTCAGAATAAAATATAGTTAATGGAAACTATTGCTCTGCAGGATGCTCTGCTCCAAAGTATTGCTGTGCGGTATCTTTCTGCCCATATTTATACAGCTTTCGCAATTATTAATTTTATCCGATGACTAAACACAAGCATGAATGAACAAGTGCTAATAAAGAGCTCATTTTGAGAAAAGAAAACGCGTTCTATGTAAGACCATATTGTCTATGGGGAGCCGCCTCCAATTAGAAATTAAAACAACAACTTCGTCGCCGATCAAAGACGACGGTGGCCGTGATTAACACGCGTAATTAAGCCCTGCCGGTGCGCGGTCAAGGTTAAGGGGGGTTCTAACTTCCGCACAACGCTCGGCGGCGGCAGCTCTTTCTCTAAATTAATCTCACATCGTTAGCCGAGGCACAAAATGGGAAATGACAGAGACGGGAGCAAGTGCCCGGGGGGAGGGGACTAGGGAGTATGATACAGAGACGCGAGGGCGGCCGAGAGTAACGTTCAATGATTACTTTCTCGTCATTTGTGTAGTAATTACAGGGGTCAGGGCCACGTGGATTACTTAACCCATAACTCACTCGTGGAAAGCCAGGTAGAAAGCTCTCACGTTTTCATTCCTACAGTACGTGGAGGCGACGGGGATTTTGTCTCCAACCCTATGATTATACTCTGTGCTCTGTTCAGTGTTACAAAACGGCGTATTACACGCTGTCAAAACCGGCGGGACATTTGTAAAGGAAACAATTACAAGATGATGATCGGGGTTTAATTTATCTGTGCCTGACAAAACGTCCTGATGTACGGAGGTGGGAATTGGTAGCGCGATATCAGATCCGATAAAACACTCCAAACCACTAGTTTGGAGGATAATAAGCGCTCAGTGTGTCTGCGGCGTCTGAGTGATTTAGCCACTGTTACACAACTTAATCAGAACAGGGTGCCATCTGAGTAAAAATAGAATCTTTAGACCCCATATTTATCTCCGAAAAACCGCATTCCTCGCTACCCCCTGCGTTGCTGGGTTTTTAAAGCCGAGAGAAATTAAAAGAGGGATTGGGACTGAACGCGATGATAAATCTATCTTTTCTTCACTTCTTCCGATCTCAGGCCTATGTCTATTTACACAGGTTGCGGCGCACTATTATACAGTGTGGTTTTAATTTCACAACAGTATGATTGAATAAAAAGAACAACAGAGGACCGCGATGTTATGGCCATGTTGATATATTGGTTGTACAATAATAACCTTCCACCCCCTCTCTCTCTCTCTCTCTAACCCCCTCTACCTCTCTAAGATCTACCGCCGTACTACAGTAGCCACTGGCGGCGAATCAAAGATAGACGCTTAAGCGGTTTTTTGTAATTTTTTTTCCTAACACCTCCCCCGCTTGCTGCCAGCGATACAAATGTCCCGACGGATGGCGGTAGAGACGACAACCGCGTTGAGGGATTATCCATATTTTCTGAATCAGTCGCTCTTCCGGACTATTAGCCTCATTAGATGTAGATTCTGAGTCCCAATTGGTTAATTACCCTGTAAGTGCGGGGGCGGGAAGAGCTAATATCTCGTAATGGGAAGTCAACTAGAGGGCGGGGCCTAGCGGGCTACCAGCGCTTCCGTGTTATAATACAGTCATGTACGGAAAGAATATTCAGTCGTATTCCATGAAAGTAAATTTGTGAGTAGCATTTTATTATTGAGAATGCCATTCCTTATTTCATAATTTTTCTGTTTAAAACGTTTAAGGTACCTGTAAGGGAGTTTTTGTTTTGTTTTTTTCTTCAGTGTTCTCTGTGTTGTATAAAAAATAGATACAGAACTTGGAAGTAGCACAGAATGACGCTTTGAGTACACGTTGCTTGTTAGACAGTGGCCGTTGAAATTAAGCCTATGGTCTCTGTCAGTATTCGGCGCTTTTATATTTTAAGTACGGGCAGATCGCGCGATGCTAGTTTTGACGATTTCTATTGTGATGCCGTCCCATCGCGTGCTGACTGCGGTCGCCAAATGGACTATCGTGACAGGGAGTGCGAGCGCCGTCCAGATACTAACTGCCCGACACGTGGAACGCAAAACAAACAACTACATTACACCAGAGACTTGACCGGGTGTGTGCGTAACTCTAGAAATATTGTCGGCCGTTCTTATATTGGTATTGATGATGTTATTTTGCAGTTTATGTGCAGATTTCCCGTCTCAAAAGGGAAAAATGGCTGGTCAAGTGGAGTATTTTTTTTAATACTTTACAGCAATTTATGTAAAAATTTATCTTTCGTTACTAACATTATTCATTTGAAAATAAAAATGGGTGTGATTTTTTTTTACCCGTCATATCTTTCCTATAAAATGTCACCGACATTTTCAGTGGAATGTATATTTGACGTAGAGGAGATGTTTTTGAAATAATTCTTACTAGAACTACAAGGCACCGGACAATCATGCTAAATTTCTG